GGTGCCAGAGAGAGCCAGCGAGAGCCCGTCCCCACGGAGCTGGGGGCAAAAGCAGAGGTTTAACAGCAAAATAGGGGTAAGCCAGAGAAATCACCCTCAGCCATCACCACCAGTCAACCCCAAAGGGGGATGCTCAGCCCCAGAGCAGGGTGCTCAGCCCCAGCCTTCCCAAACTGCTGGAGTTTTTTGGCTTGAGTTGGTGCAGCTCTGCCCTCCGTTTCACCTGGGGCTGGAGGGTTGTGGTACCTTGGCTGAAGTCGGAGCGGACATGGGTCACCTCGTAGCTGTCTGCCGCCGTGCAGGCAGTGGAGTGGCCGTAGCAGAAGCAGCTGGTGCAGCCGGCAGGGTTGTGGGGCTGCAGGTTAAACCAGCCTGGCTGGCACCTGGGCATGGGGAGGAAACAGGAGCACAGGGCATGGGGCAGGCAGAGCCGTGGGGGACCACAGCAGCATCCCAGGGGGGACACCAGTGGCAGCTCTGAGTGAGCCCAGTCCCAGTGGTCCAGAGGGATGCAGCCCCACGGCCTTGCCAGCCAGCCAGGGCCTCTGCAGGGAGCGACCTTGCAGGATTCCCATGGCATAGCCCCTGTGAGGGGTCATGTGTAGGGGCGGGGGAAGCAGCAATGCCCCGCAGGAGCGAAGACACTTGCCCTGCACCAACCAAGAAGCCGTGGCATTGATCCCAGCCTGGAAAGGGGCTGAGGTCTCATCCCCATCCCGCAGGGCTTACCTGTTGCACAAGTGCCCCTCCACCGTCTCCTTGCAGGTGCAATGCCCCGTGTTGGGGTCGCAGGTGCCCACACTGCCCACGGGGTCGCAGGCGCAGGGTCTGCAAGGGGCGAGACAAAGGTGCGAGGTGAGCCCCAGTCCCATCCCACTGCTCCTGCCTGGGGCCAGGCTCCTCCTCACCTGCAGCCGCCTTCGCTGAGGCTGTGGTAGCCGTCCTTGCAGCGCTCACACTTCCAGCCCGTGACATTGGCTTTGCAGAGGCAGGCCCCTGAGCTGTCGCACTGGGGCTGCAGGGAGCCTGCGGGGACCCCGGCCAGCCCCGGT